TCTCTCTCTCTCTCTCTCTCTCTCTCTCTCTCTCTCTCTCTCTCTCTTTCTCTCTCTCTCTCAGCTCTGTTTTCCCACCATCTCCATCTCTCTCACTTCCCCCTGTCTTTCTTTGTCTCTGATATATATGTCTGCTGTGTGACTTTTCCTGGGAAGACACGAACATACATACATCTATTCACCCTAGATAGGACCGCCAGGAACAGGCCAAAGAAAGAGCTCCACCCAGTGTAGCGTGGTGACCCAGTGGCTGTAAGCAGCCTGATTGACAGCACTGGGACAAAGGAGAATAGATTGCTTATAGAGACCGAAGCACGGGGAAGTGGTGAGCAGAGACTCAACCAAATAGGATGCTTAGTTTTTTAGTTTAGAATGGTAGGTGTTAAAAATTCCCTAAGCACCACTGAGCTACAACACTCCAGTACCTGACTTGTGTTTGTTATTGATTTGGGGACTGAAGTGGAAACGTAAGGGTTCTTTGGAGAGTCAGTTGTGTTGGAAGGTGTTCTGCTGGGGCAAGCACATGAAGGAGTGTTTTCCTGAAGCAGACACAGGTGAAAGGCTAAGGCAGTCTTGTGAAGGAATATTTCACTGATGCAGGCACAGGAGAGGATGTTCTGCTAAAGCAAACATGTGAAAGGACAAGTGATGAAGGATTCTTTGCTAACAACACACATGTCTGGGTCCTCCTTACATTGCATAGCTGAGCTGTGTTTGCTGGGACTCAGCGGACTTGGGCTGATTGGACACACATGCTGAAACAAGACACGTAGAGGACACATGATGTTTGGAGGGTAGAAATAGAACACAGTGGAGTGACAAAGACAGACTTTGACTTGCTGGTACAGCGAGCTGTGCAACATTAGTGGGTCTCACGTCTTCACTGGTCTTCACTTCCCTGAGAGAGGCACAGCTGGGAATTTCTCCTGGTGTTCCTGTTGGTCCCTCCTGCTGACTGGAGCCGAGGCTGAGGCCTGGCTGTCTCTGCTAGTTTGGACCATCACTGTTGCTAACCCAACTCTCCTGAATTGGACTGCTGGTGTGTCCATGAAGTGTTTGCAAATGGATCAAGCTGCCTGCTAACCTGTGAACTGAACTGCTCATTTCCAGACAACACAGATGAAAGTTGTTCCAAAGAACCTTTCTAAACAGGTCCACTTCCCCCATATCCTTTCTTTTCCACTACCTCTAGTGGGTGGTGGGCTACAAGGGAGGGTAAGGCATTTAAGAACCATCATTAAAAATAAGACTTGAAAAAATTAAAGTTATAGGGAACTTTCTTTTGTGTGGTGGGGGTGGGAGTAGTACTGAGACAGCATCTCATGTAACCCAGGCTTGCCCTCAAACCCTCTATGTAACAGAGGATGACCTCAAACTCCTGATCACATTTCCTGCAGCTCCCAAGCTCTAGAATCAAAGGTGTGCACATAGAACCCAGGCTTCGAGAGCAAGGGGCAAGTATTGTTGAAAACCCGAGCTATATCCCTAGTGCAGTTGCCTATTTTTGTCTGAGACTGGGGCCCACTCTATAGCCCAGGCTAGCCCTGAAACCAGCACCAACCCTACTTTTATTTATATTTTTTCTTTTCTCCTTTAATTTGTTCACTTTACGTCTTGGTCACAGCCCCCACCTCCCAGTCCCCGCCCCTTACATAGCTCCTTCTCCCATCCCACTTCTTCTCTGAGAAGTGGGAGTAGCCCTGCCCTGGGTACCAATCCACTCTAGCACATCAGGTCACTGTAGGACTAGGCACATCCTCTTGATCTCTCTGTACCCAGGGAGATGAAGCTGCCTACAGACGAAAGGCCACAGAGTCACTTCCTCTATCTCCCTGCAACCACCCAGATCCCACTGAAGTGGACTGGGGAGCCACGCTTACCACACGTCCTTGCTTGTGAACCAAGGAGTGTTCAGAAGACACAGCTTGACCCTGCATCTTACGTAACTCAGTCCCTAAGTGGGGAATTATGCACATGGAGCCTGGCATGGAGAATGACTTGTAAACCAATTTCACAGCATCTGCTCTCTGCTGGCCCATATCTGCAGTGACTTTATTGCAAGAATGACTCTTTTAAATCAGCCTTTTTCTATTTTTTAGATTGCCTTCCTGCCCTGTGTTATTTATTAACCATCTGTCTTTCAAAATAATCCCAGTGGGAGCAATTATATGGTCCCTAGTTGCAGTCTATTTGATTTTACACCATGTGGTTTCCTTTAAGGAAAAACAGGGTTATGAGTTTCCTTTTTTTAAGATTTATTTATTTTATTTATATGAATACACTGCCGCTGTCCTCAGACACACCAGCAGAGAGCATCAGATCCCATTACATATGGTTGTGAGCCACCATGTGGGTGCTGGAATTGAACTCAGGACCTCTGGAAGAACAGACAGTGCTCTTAACCTCTGAGCCATTACTCCAGCCCCAGGGTTTTGAATTTCGAAGAACTTAAAGCACAAACAGGTCTTGTCTTAGGAGCATGGACTCTTCAAAGACACAGAGAAACAGATTCTTCTACTCATTCTAAAGAAATGCCTTTATTAACTGTTCATCCTAAACCGGGTGACGCTAAACCTGTTTCCGGCTATTCAATCATATTCTCCTTTCACAATTTTTACTTTATATTCCAGTTGTCTATTGTGTGCTGAGGTGTGTGGGTGGAGGTCAGAGAGCAAACTGTGGGACTAGATTCTCTCCTTTTACCATGTGTGTCTGAGGGATAGAACTCAGGTCATAAGGCTTGGCAGCAAGCACCCATACCTCCATTTCCTATCTTTTAAGAAATAAGGACTCACAGCTCCATTTCACAGATGAAGAGAATGAGGCCAGAATCTGCAATGTCCTTACAACAAATCTGTGCTAAGTCTTGCTTTGCTGAGTTGTGGCCATTAGAACCATTTAGAGACGACTATGGAGAGAGACTCTGATAATCTAACACTGAGGAGAAGACCAGCTGGCCTTGGGCAGTGCTGACAAGCCTGCAGTACATAGTCTGATCTCAAGGCTTAGCTCCAAGAGAAATTCCCTTAGAGATTAAAGGCTTATTGTCTGGGGTTTCTATTTACTCTTCAAGGAGTGTTCCAGTGAGGCCTGCTGGTAGGAATGTCAACAGAGAGCCCTCCCCCACTCGCCCCTGCACTTTGTCTCTCTTGCCTTTGTTGGATGAGCTTACAGCAAGTATATCCAGTTTTCTTTCCCTGCTGGGGCTAGACTGTATCAGCCCATCTTTCATGGATGAAAACCAGCACCTGTAAGCATCATGCGGTGGTTTGTGTCTGTAATCTCAGCAAGTGGGAGGTACAAGCATTCAAAGCCATCTCTAGCTATATAACAAGTTGAGGCTAGCATGGGCTACATGAGACCCCCATCTCAAAAACAAAAGTGGGATCCGATGTCTGATGGACCCGTTGAAGTCTACAGCCTGCAGTCTGCTAGTGTGATGATCTTGAGAAAAGTCCTTGGCCTTTCTGTCTACCCCTCTGCCTCTCTCCTTTCTCACACAACTCCAGCCTAGTTCCTAAACAAGCCAGGGCTCTGGTCCTCATTCAGGAGCTTTGCATTGGCCATTCAACCTTCACAGAATAGTTTCCCTAAAACGTCCAAGTCTTTGTGTGTGTGTGTGTGTGTGTGTGTGTGTGTGTGTGTGGTTTTTAGTTTTGTTTTTTAGTTTTGTTTTTTTTTTAATTTTGTAATTATATTTATGTACAGAAAATTTAGTGTACATTTAACCCTGGGTTAGTGGCAAGTTCTTTAGCCTTTGCCTTTTCCAGCGTGGTAATGCAAGCCATAGACTTAGGAACCAGAATGTTGCCTCCCCAGTGGCGGCGGATCTCGTCATATCTGCCATTATAATTGGTCCTAATAGCTTCCACCAGCTTAGCCAGAGCACCCTTGTCTTCCGAGTTAACCTGTGTGAAGGCAACAGTGGTGCATGTCTTCCTGTGGACCAGGTGCCCCAGCCTGGCCTTTCCCTTGATGATGCAGTAGGGCACCCCCATCTTCCGACACAGGGCAGGCAGGAAAACCACCAGCTCAGTGGGGTCTACATCGTGGTCAATCACCACCAGCTGAGCCTTCTTGTTCTCCACCAGGGTGGTGACTGTATTGACTTCTGCTTGGAGGACAGGTGGTCTTTTAGTTGGGACGTCCTCTTTGCCACCAGCTTTTTTCTCACCACGGGCCAGTAGCCTTTGCTTCTTCTCTTGCTTTGTCTCTGGCCTGTACTTATGGGCAAGCTTAAGCAGCTGAGTAGCTGTTTGCCAGTCCAGAAAAGGTCCAAGTCTTTCCCATCCTCACTTCCTTTAGGTCTTTATCCCATTAATCACCTTGTCAGGATAGGTATGACGTGGAATCATTGTGTGATTGAAACCTTACCAGAATTCTAGCAAACACCAGCACTATGCTCTGAGGCCTGAAGAACTACGAGCTGAAGAAATATGTTCTCATGTTCACTCCAGCAGCACGTATACCAAACAAACCCTCTTGACTTTACAATGTCCCCAGTTTCAGTGATTCTGTTACAAAAGCAGTAGGTGGACTCAAACAGAATCAGAAAGGGAATGCGTTTCTGTCCCACTAAATCCAGCTGGCCTGAATCAACGTGCTCCCCTTCAGGTACGTTTTTCCCCTTCCCTGTTGTCAAGCAGAACCTTCTAATCAACACCGGTATACAACACCTCCTCATCTCACCACAAAAAAACAGCTACACTGCATTCCACAGCTTCTTCTGCCGTGAGGAATGGTCAGGTGACAAGGTTCTAGTTCTCTGCCAGATCTGAGCCTATCCTGAACCTCCCACATACAATTCTCACTCTCTTCCCTTAGCTGACAGCTAAATGGCAAGGACTTACAAACCTAGAGGAGGAAGGAGCCACAAGTAAGGAGCCCGGGTCACACAAATCCATCTATCAGCAAAATACCCTAGTTAGATAGTACATGGTGGCTGGGGCTGGAGATGGGTGGGTGCTCATGCTCACCCAGCAAGCATTTTATCAGCTGAGCCAGCTCCTTGGCTTCTGTTTCTGTTTCTGTTATATAACTTGATTGCACATATCTATATAGATGAAAACATCATGTTACAAGATCAAAAGGTTGGGCACACCTACATGCTAGATCATATCAAGATGCCTTATGATTCCTAATATAATGTGAACACCATATGAATAGATGTAACCTCTACTCTGTAGGAACTAATGGTTTAAAAAAAAGGAAAGAAAGAAAATTATCCAAGGCCAAGCTTGGTGGTGGCACATGCCTTTAATCCCAGGAATCAGGAAGCAGAGGCAGACGAATCTCTGTGAGTTTGAGGCCAGCCTGATCTACAGAGTGAGTTCCAGGACAGCCAGGGTTATACAGAGAAACACTGTCTCGAAGAAGAAGGAGGAGGAAGAGGAAAAGGAGAAGGAGGAAGAGGAGAAGGAGGAGGAAGAGGAGGAGGAGAAGGAGGAAGAAGAGAAGGAGGAAGAAGAGGAAGAGGAGGAAAGAAGGAAGGAAGGAAGGAAGGAAGGAGGAAAGGAGGGAGGGAGGGAGGGAGGGAGGGAGGG